TATATATATATATATGTATATATGTATATATATATATATATGTATATATATATGTATATGTATATATATATATATATATATATGTGTGTGTGTGTGTGTGTGTGTGCTCTCTGTGTGTTTGAAGCTCCTGGTACACGTTCTCACGAACAAAAAACAGTTATGGATTTGGTCAGCTGGACTTTCAATCAACAAAATCTTTTCAACAAAACGACAGGGTCCTGGAGAACCTTCTTGTCTGGCTGAGACTTGCGCTGCGGTTCAGAGATCCGTGGGGAGTTTGACAGCTGAGGTGTCTCAGTTCAGTCTCGGGAGGATGCTGAAGACGTTTATACATTTGGATTTATGATAGCAGGGTTTCTGCTCTTTGGCATTGGTGGGTCTCTGCTTTATTGACTTTTGAAGAAGACTTCAGCAGCTGTTTAAGCCATGGCAAAGCTTCCGAATCAGTGCAAAGGTTTGGTTCATGCTATGAGCACTCAAAATCAGCTGATTTACAAGCTAAACCATAAGATGGAAGCGATTTGTGAGAATCGCAGGCCACCTGCAGCTCCTAGGACTTGTCAGCATGCTGGGATCGACCTTGAAGGAGGCTCGTAACAAGGATCAGTGGAGTGGAAAACATTTGGTCATTTTGGACCAGAAAGTTCCAGCAGGACTCGAGGCTGACGAAGAAAAACAGTCTGCCTGAAGAACATCAACAATTGTGGCTTATCTGAATCTGATTCCCCCGTTTGGCCTCGGATACGAGCCGACTTGCAAATTTCTCCTGGGACTTGGGTAACTAGGGGCAAAAAGCTTTCATTTATCGCACCCCCCCCCCAAAAAAAAAAACACCTCTGTACAGGCTTATCAAAACTGTGGTCTATCTGAAATGCTCGTGGACAAATCTCAACACCTTTATGTCAAATGCATAAGTCATGTGTCTAAATGTGCTGCTGGTAGAGTTTTTGATGTCTTAAATCATGTCCTGATGGGACAAGATGTGAAGAGATCTTTATTTGTAATACCACTATCCATCCTCGTGGCTCTTACCCTTTTTCTATCTTAAAGTATTCTGATAAAGAATAAGGGGGCAGCAGCAACGTGCACTCTGCCCATCTTTCGGACATCACGTGGCATACACACCATTGGTGATCTGTATAAAACTGGACAATTTGTCCTATGAGGACTTGACTCGTACTTTTTTTTTTTCATTCAACCGTTATTTCCACAGGTTAGTCCCACTGAGCCTCCGGGACTCATTTACAACGGAGACCTGATTTTAACAAAGAATGATGACGACAGATGACAATCATAAAAGGAAGCTTACAAATTGAGAAGAACAAGTGAAAGAAAATGTTTTTTTAAAAAACGAAACAAAAACATCTAGATTCTAAGGCGATGTAGAAACTAAAAACAGGAACATGTCTGCGTTGGTTCCGGCCAGGAGTCTTAACAGATTCTTGAACCCACTTAGAGAGGTCAAAGGTCAGAGCTTCAGATCTTTTTACAAGATATTCCAGGAAACAGGAGCGGAGTAGGAGAAGGTCCTTTTGTCTAGTTCAGTCCTCACTGAGGGGACACTGCAGGTAATGATGTCCTGAGAGCGCATGGATACATGCACGGAGCCCAGTCACGAGAAGCTGCCACGGGCAGCGTGCGAGGTTTGTTTTTATAAACTCGTCAGCTCCCGGCTCACAGGCAGACGCTGATGACCTCGGCCACCCAGCTGCACGTGCAGGATCCAATCAGCTCCTCATTCAGCGCTCTGAGAGAGAAAAGAACTCTCTGGTAACTCAAACACACGGTTCATGGGCAGTTAACGTTCTCAGCCATAGTTAAAAACATCCATAAACCTTGACCAGAAATCTCCTGACGGTGATAAAAAATGTTTTTATTTGTTTAAATGTACAGTTTATGATTTTATTAAAATGTAATGTTAGAGACAAAGCAAACTTAAATTCTTGGTGTTGTGGGTCACCCCTTGTGTTTTACCGGTGCACGTGTGGGTGTTCTCCGGGTACTCCAGTTAAACGTGTTGGGCAAATTGGCAACTCTAAATGGTCCTGAGGTGAAAGTGAGAGCGTGAATGGTTTGTCTCAACGTGTCCCTCTGATGGACCGGAGACCTTCTAGAAATATGCACCAGCAACCTTGCAAGGAAAGTTGGACAAATAAAACAGATAATTTATTTAGCCTTAATTTAAAATCATAAATCACTTGGAGACACTTTTCTGTTCACTGTATACACATTCTGAAAACGCATGATCTTACCTTGGTAGCTTGTCTAACTTCCACCTGATCCACACAGGTACATGTTCTGGACCGACTGGGGTGAGCATCCCAAGATCGAGCGAGCAAACTTGGATGGAACGGACAGGGTGGTCCTGCTCAACAGTTCGCTTGGCTGGCCCAATGGACTCGCTCTAGACTTCGAAGCAAGAAAGCTATACTGGGGAGATGCTAAGACGGACAAGATAGAGGTATATTCTGTGCAACATCAACACGTGTTTTATGGAGCTAATCATTAATTGAGAGAAATATAAACGGCAAAAAACCTATGAAATCAGAAACGGTTTGGGAAGTGTCTGCTGAATATTTAATCTAAACAGAAAAATGACGTGAAAATTCAATGGGACCGCTGGGAAAGATCAAGAATAGCAAAACACTTTCTAAAAGTTGCAAAAAAATTTAGCTAAAAGTTTCAAAGTGCCTAAAGCTAAGTCTTGCAAATGTCTAGCTAAATGCTACATGTATCCACTGCTTGCTAAATATTAAAAGTAGCTGAATGGTAGCTAAAGGAGAGCACATTTGAGCCAGACTTGACTGATAAAAACTGGTTTTGACAACTGTTTACCCAGTTTTAATTGTTCTCTTCGGGTCGAGGGTGAGGTTCTGCCTCAAGTGGAGGAGTTCAAGTATCTCGGGGTTTTGTTCACGACTGAGGGAAGAATGGAGCGAGAGATGGGCAGACGGATCGATGCAACGTCTGCAAGCCATGCGGCCAGTTTGAAAATCACAGCCACAAAATCAACTTTCTGGAGACTCGTGCTTGAAGTTCATACTGAAGTCTCGTAACGAGTCACCGCTGAGGGAGGACTCGCCTAAAGTTGTTTTAAATTGACCTTTTCTTTAAACGGGGAGTCTCATTGAGCCACGAGGACTCATTTTCAAGAGAGACCTGTTTGGGAGCAGATGGTGGGGGTTAGGGGCCTTGCTCATGGGCCCAGAGTGGGGCAGATGAGGGTGGAGGCAGGTGTGGGTGTTTCACCTTTCCCATCCACGTTTTTGATGTTGCCGGTCCGGGGACTCGAGTCGGTGACCTTCCGATCACAGGTCCGTCTTCTCTAACCTCCGCCCCACCGCTCCCCGGTGCAGAGAAGTAAGGTGGCATTAAATGTTTGTTGTGGCACCTTCCCCCACGACAACTTGGACTTTTCTTTTAGACATTGCAACATGTCACCGTCTCTTTTCTGCTTTGGTCGCACGGTTACGTTTTCCATTTAAAGCTTTTATTGCTTCTTTTTTCCCCACCACATTTTTCTCTTATTTTTTTTTATTCTGTTTTCATAAGTTTTCAAAGATGTATTTTTTTGACATTCTTGTTGCTGGGTGACTTTATTTTCTCAACCTTTGCTTGTGTTAGCGTGGCGGCGTAGAGATAAAGGGAGTGCAACAAAACGGTTTTATGGCCGATTGCTCACCAAGAAAAGGATGACTGCTCTAGCTCGCCCTTTGTCGGGGTGAAAAGAGCCATCTCAAGCGGCTTCAAGGGGCGTTTTCTCTACAATTTAGCTTTGTTTTTTATCCACTTTATTCCTACTATTCATGATCCTCTGCATAAATTATGGGCACCACTTCCAGTCAATGCACTTTTTTTAAAGGAACGTTACGCAAGCCTCTCTTAGACCAAATTAAAAACCAAGCATTTCTGGAAGGTGTGCACATCACCCACCACCTTTCCTTTCATGTCTGTGTTTATGTTAACGTCATCTTGTGTTGAGAAACGACGTATTAGCAGCTGTTTTGAATAAACTTTACAAAAAAACCTTATGCACAACCTCATGCAGTATGTTGAAATCTCACACTCAGGATGTGTTGGGATTAGAGCCGTCATTTCTAATCTGGGCCCGAAGCCCGGCCCGACTTGAATTTGGGCCAGACCGGGCCGTAATAATGTGCTGGATGGGCGGGTCGTTGTCGGGCTTTTGATTGTGAGAGCGGATGCGCGCTGCTGATGATCCAATTATATGGCAACATGACTTGCCATACAATCACCAGCCGCATGCAGCCATTTGACCGCGCGCTGACCGGCCTTGAAAGAGGTCAAATAAAGTTCAATTAAGCTTCAGATGGACTACTGCCAGTGATCCATTAAAGCCCAAATGCACCTTCATTCAGCTGCTGCACTCAGCGGACGCGTGCAGCCGACGACCCAAACAGGTGAGATTACAAAATGTCCTCGCAGACATGTCAGAGCATGGTCCGTGTCTGAATAATGCAGAATGCAGGAAGAAGCAGGGATTTAATGCTCTTTGACGGCCATGAAAGGACAAACACCCCCTCAGCTCCGATCTTCTTCCCCCTCAGCCGCTCGCATCCTCCGACCATTAATATCTATATAAGCAGTCAAAGTTTAATTAAAAATGTCGGGGGGGGGGGGGGGGGTCGGGTTTGGATCTGTAATTACTGTTAATTTGTCGGGTTGGATTTTTTGTGCCTGAATGCAACTCTAGTTGGGAATACTTCTTGGGGGTGGACAAAGCGCAACATTTTCAGCCGTTCTATTGGTTATTGGCGGCCGCCCTCTCCCAATATTGGTATCGGCGAAAGCGAAAATTTCTTTATCGGTCAGGCTCTAGTTTTAATCAAAGGTCTCAAATGAAGAGGAGCACTCGAGCGGCCGCTTGTAGCTTGTCGTTGGTTGCTTCAGCTCGTCGTTCTGAGGCTACAAGTTTGAGCCCAGGTTGCGTCGAGGAGGGCAGCCTGTGCAAAGCAATTACCAAAGGTACAGTATTTATGTAATTTATCTCACAGCGGTGCACCCTGCAGAAGGGAGCAGCCGAAAGAAAAACAATAACTGAAAGGTTTCAAGTTTAAAGTTACCCACTAGATCGTCTTCAATACTTTTTATTTAATCGTTGAATGTTCTGTTGAACTTAAACGCCATATTTTTGTTGACGTTTGTCAATTTTCATTAAATTAGGCATATTTTACCATTTAATTATAGAAGTTGTATTAATCCACCGTAAAACACAAAATTTAGGTGAAAAATGTTTCATCATAAAATAAAAATGAAATTTTGAGGCAAAAAATAAATTTAATAGAGCCCTACAACATACAACACAGTGGCAGTGAAGAATATTGCTGATTTCTTTTATTTGTGCTTATTTTGTTTATGTGCCTACATTTGATTAAATCCTTTAATAGTTTTAAAGGATGGTCGTGACTCGGGAAGTTCTTCAACCCCCCTCCGAGGTTGTCTGCCAGCTTAGAGTCAGCGGTTCGATGCTGGCCTCCTCCACCTTGTGTCAAAAGGCAGAACATTTTCAAAATGGTCCAGTTTCTTCATCTTTGTTCTGTAAATTGTCCTGATGACTGAGTCTACAGCAACACATGATGCTAACGTTGGTGTCGGACCGTAGCGATGCCGACGTGATGGATCGAAGCCGGAGTTTGTTTTTACTCCAGTGCGTTGCTCCCGTTCCAGAAATATTTCGCTGCACCAGAGGAGCCGTGAAGAGGCCAGGTTAAATTAAACACTGAAACAAACAATCATGTCAGATCATTTAATTGATTCTGGTTCCACAACAACTTCAGAATCACTCATGCCAACATGTGCAGCATCCATATTCACTTCCTTGGAACACCGCATGTTGCGTGTGACGTCACCTTTTGTTCTGCAGGTCGGATCAGAACTGTAAACGGTTCACACCGAAATCTGTTGGAGGTCCTGTTTTTATGATCGTGAACGATCACGCAAATAAAATCTGATCCGAACAAAAAAAACCTCGAGCATTAAAACGTGCAGCGTGACCGTAGCCTGACGTTGTGAGAAAACCGCTGAGAAAAAATCCACAAATGTTCGGTTGTAGTTTCACTGAATTTGAACCTAAATCACTTTGGTCATGTGCTTTGGGAAACTGGGCAACATTTAGAAGTTCTTCGTGTTGTCGTCATTGCATGTTCCCATACAGTGGTGAAACTGGTTCTCTGCTTTTAACCCATCACACCTGACATACACCCAGGTGGAGCAGTGGGCAGCTATGTAAGCGCCCGGGGAGCAATTAGGGCTTGGGTGTCTTGCTCAGAGACACCATGACATGTGGGCATGGTGGGGAGTCGAGTCACGACTTTCTGGTCCCAGGTCGGCTGTCCTACCTCTACACCATCTCACCCCCCTGAGCAACAGAATTATAGTTGCATGTAGCTTTTGCAGATGTCTTTCCATGACCAAACATTCCCTTAAAATACTTCATGAACTGCTCTGTGGACTTTGACACTTTCATTCATTCAACTTTATTTACACAAGTTGGTCTCTTGGAGTCATGAGGACTCGTTTACAAGAGAGACCTTTTCAGAAAGCAATCTTTGGACATCCAGTGTTTCCCCTGCCATTATACAAGGAGGGCGCCCCGCCCTGTCAGCAGGACTGGGCACCTTATCTACCGAGCTGTTCTCCCCCCGTCGACAACTGCCAGCACTGACATAGCCCTAAGCTAGCGTGTGCAATACAGGCGCACTAGCTAAAAAGCTAGCGTTCCATCGCCACCCCCCCGACAACTGTCAGCACAAACAGCGCGCAACGCAGATGTGCCTTTGTCCCCCCCCCCCACCCCAGTCAACAAAACAATCACAGAAGCGATATGAGCGCCCTGCCAAGGCAAGTCAACTAGGGGAAACACTGGACATCCATCTATATGTAACTGGTCACCTATGGAGTAAGTCCAGTTCAAGATGGCTGCCACAGCATATTAACCATAGCCAACACAAAAATGACCAACTCCTTCATTTTTATAGATGCTAAGCTAAAATATTACCAGATACACTTCACTAACCAGGTTGCTTTGTCTTCTGGGGGAGTTGTTGGATCCAGAACACGAGAAAGAGGGGACTAGTTTTTGGCATTTGATTTATATATATATATATTTATATATTTCCCTCCTGTGTCCTGATGTGGTTTAGGTGTGCCGTTACACCCCAGTCCAGCAGACATGATGTGACACAAGTAGGGAAACAAAATGTCTTGTGACTTCACAACTGATGATGTTGTTGGTGCAAAACTCTGGCCTGGAATGTGGCATGGGATCAACATTCCTTCAAAGAATGCATGTAACTTCAAAAACTAACTATTAACAGACTTTTTAACTATATCATTGAAAATAAAGAAGTTTGTTTTTCTTGCTCTGTTAGTCAAGCAGTTGTTTCAGAGTGTGACTGATTGGAGTTCGTGACGGGACTCTGTGGGATCTTTCAGTTTTTTTGGTTCTTTTCACTTGATACGTTTCAATATGTTTATCGGGGATTCTCCCTGTGTGAGCGTATGCAAACTGTCCTGTGATGGTCTGACTTCTCCCTGCGTGTCCACAGAGATCTTTGTTACTTTTCTGTTTGCTTTTCTTTCTGTTGTTCTGCTCTGTGCCCCCCTTGTCCATTAAGAAATTATTCATTCCTTCTAACAAAAAAGAGTTGGACTGGGGGAAGGAAAATCCCCATCTCTGTGCCTAATTCTTGGTTAAAAAACAAGCTGAGATAAAGAGTGCGTATGATAGAAAGAGGCAGCAGAAAGGGAGTCCTTCTGCATCTTTTCACTCGGATAGCCATGTCTAATGTTGTCACTTTGATGAATGAATCGGTTCTTTTGAAGGGCCAGGCTCCCCTTTGGACTGGAGGCCCATCAAAGTGAATGTTGTTCTGTTTGCTCACCCCTATCTCTGAATGGATATTTAAATGAGCTTTCACACAGTAAAAACTGGGGTTCACAGCTGCCCAGAACAAAAAACACAACATTGGTCCACATTCAGAGTATCTACATCCACCATATAGGGAAAGAAACCCACTGTGTGCCGGTAATACTGTGAACGTCCAAGCTGGTATTTGTTGACTAGATACAACTTGAAACATAGCACTTCTTGAAGGAATCCTTATTTCCTGATGTCTTTTTAACCAGAATCATCTTATGATGAGAAATAATCAACTTATAGAGATTTTGGTCAAACCTTGTAAATAATGTTGCGCTCAGTCTCATGGAATATCGTGAGGTCGTGTGTGATCTGTTAGTGCTCCTCTCAGCTACTACCACACCAAAGTTTAGCTTGATTTATATGAAAGAGACAGAGTTGGAACCATTTTTGTGTTTTCAAAGGTCAATTAACTGTAGCAGCCAACGTGAATCAGGGTGATGCCAAAAACTAATCGGTTGTAGATGTAGATTCATCCAGTGGTTCTTGATTGAGGCATTGGGGGTTGGTCCGTCATAATGAGGCTGAGGTCGCAGAGGTAGTCAAGTCTCTGTGGTGGGAAGGCCCCAGGGGTGGACAAGGTCCACTCTGACTTCCTCGAGGCTCTGGATCCTGCTGAGCTGTCTTGGTTGACACTGTCATTCCCCGATCTGCTACGGAAGCACGATCCGTAGTGTACGTCCGGGTCGCACGGATCGCTGTTGTTTATTAATAAAAACTGTCTTAATTTAAAAGTATGTGCTGCATCTCCACCGATCTTTAAGTAGCTAATTTACGCAGTCGGATTTTTGTTAAAATCTTTGGTTAAGATGATCTGCGACACATTGGAGCTGACCCCCAGCCTGGGCTGCATGAGGAAAACCCTGCGAGATACAGAATGAATTGTTTCCATGGTGAAACGATGCCACTCGGTGCTGAAGCTGCAGATCATTTGAACCGTGACGTAAATATATTGTTGATTTTAACAGAGATAGAGTGGAGTAAATTAGCAACATGAAAATCGGCGGAGATAGAGCACAAACTTTTCTAAGTAAATTCAGACAGTTCTTATTCATAAACAGAATTATACCAGTACATTTTCCTTAATCTAGCATAATGAATGACAATCCCTGCGACCCGCAAGTATTCCTTTTAGCTCATGAGCACATGAGCAACACTACGGATCGGGTCCGCAACAGATTGGGGAACCACAGACACGTCTTTGCGTTATCTCGCTGATATCCGGGGTAGCGTTACTGGATATGATTTCTTCAGTAATCCTCTAAAAAAGAATGATGACATTTTAACTTTGAGTTTGTGTTACTGGGGATGAGGGGTTGTAAGAGATTGTGGGCATTCACACGTTAAGGCTGCTACACATTTCTTCAGGTGTAAGACTTCTGTTCTCGCTCAGATTTGATTTTATCTTTTTGGCCTGGACATTTTACACTTAAAGAGAAATCGTAGCATAGAACTTCTGGTAAGCCCCTCCCACTGCAGCACAAATTCTGCCCGAGGCTCAGTGAGACTAACCTGTATAAATAACGGGTGAATGAATGCACAGACAAACGCAGCACGGTTGGCAGAGTGGACGTTTGCTTTCAGTTCATACTGGAGGAGGAAGATCTGGGATTTCAGTCGTTGACTGAGGAGAAGTGTTAATTTTTTCTAATTTGTGAGCAGCCACAGAATCGTACCACGGAGATCGGCCATGCACAACAATCGTTTTGTCTTGTTCCACAAACTCTTGGAGTATCTTTACAAGATTTATTGAACAATCTTTAAGTTTTGCTGGAACACTTGGTTGCATTTTCCAGCAGCCTCGGCCAGCTGCTCCTCAGCAGAGCAGTTGAAGCAAGAGCCACTCACTCCCACCACGTTCTGATCAGTCACACAATACTTGGAGCGTACCCCTGGAAATTTTAGCCAGGAGCTTGTGCACAGAATGGGTTCTCGCAAAGCCTTGTAGATCAAAACGGTGTAATATTCATCACGTAAATGCGTCAGTTAAGAGTTGCGTACGTCTGAGCGTGGTGGTTCTGGACGCACCGACTCCAGCTGCAGCCCACTCTTTGTGAATGGGCACCCCAAGGTCACAGATGCTGAATGATAGTGTGTTGACGTGTGTAAAATGTGCTGTATGCACTGCTCTTGTCTATTTATGAGGATTTTATTTTAAATGGATTGTTTACCTAATTATTTTTTCAGCCAGCCTTGGGTTCACTTGATGTTTGTCTAAATGTGTTTTCTGTGAAAGCTTCAGCCCATATTCTGTTGATTGTCTAAATGTTTATGAAGTATTCTCACTTTTTCTTCCGTACGGTTCTCATCATCATTCTCGTCCCGCAGTTTTCAGCTGTTTCAACAAATCATAAATCAAAACGTTCGGCTCTTTCAGGACAATCCTGCTGTGACTTTTGGTTTTGGTGCTACTTCAGCTGTTTGAAATATTTAGCCTTTTCTGCCATTTTTGTTCTCACAGAAAATGAATTGAGCTCATTTTACGTCCTCCAGATCTTTAGATGTGTTTACAACCTTTTACTGCTCCTTTCACTTTTTCTTCAGCTTCTCTCAGCTTCCTGCTGCAAATGGAACTTATTTTTCAGTAAATTTCAGCTGTTTTGTGCTCCTATCAGATTATTTCTGCTAACTACAGCATTTTTGTGCTGCTTCTAACTTCTTTCAACTTATTTCAGCTTGTTATGCTCCTTTCAGCTGATTTCTGCAAGTTTCAGCTTTTTCTGCTATTTCAGCTACTTTTTAGCTGTTTTATACCAATTTCAGCTTTATTCAGATAATTTCCACTTTTATGCTCATGTCTGCTTCTTTCAGCAAACATATTCTTTCTGCTTTCTTATGCTAATTCAGCTTGTTCTACTTTATTAGCTAGATTTTTTTCTTAGCAGTTTTTAGCTAATTTCAGCTGTTTTCAGATAAATTCAAGTTTTTTCTTGGTCATTCCTTTTGTTTTCAGCCTAATTAACTTCTTTCTACTAATTTTAGCTTGTTATGCTCCTTTCAGATTTTTTTCTGCTAGTTAAAGCTTTCTCTGCTATTTCAGCTACATTTTAGCTGTTTTGTGCTAAATTTAGCCTTTTCAGCTACGATAACTCCACATTTTTTAGCTCATTTCAGCTCTTTCCACTTCTGGTAGTTTAAGCTTCTTTCTGCCTTTTCAGCTACTTTTCAGGAATTTTTACTAATTTCTACCTTTTTAGCTAATTTTCAATTTTTGTGCTTGTTTCTGCTTATTTAAACCTAATTCAGCAAATGTGTGTTCTTACTGCTTTCTTCTGCTATTTTAGGCTTGTTCTTCCATTTCAGCTGTTTTCAGCAAGTTCTTCAGTAATAAGTATTCAGTTTCTGTCTTTTGCATTAAAATCTGAAGGCGTTTTATTCTGAGTGTTTTTTTTATTCTGAGTGTTTTTTTATTCTGAGTGTTTTTTTTATTCTGAGTGTTTTTTTTTATTCTGAGTTTTTTTTTTATTCTGAGTGTTTTTTTAATTCTGAGTGTTTTTTTTATTCTGAGTGGTTTTTTAATTCTGAGTGGTTTTTTTTATTCTGAGTGTTTTTTGTCTCTTCATGCCGTGTCAGGTGATCGACGTGAACGGCAGTAACCGACAGACGCTGCTCGAGGACAAGCTGCATCACATCTTTGGTTTTACTCTGCTGGGTAATTACATCTATTGGACCGACTGGCAGAGACGTAGCATCGAGCGGGTCCACAAAACCACCGCCGTGCGAGAGATCATCATCGATCAGTTGCCGGACCTGATGGGGCTGAAGGCTACAAAAGTGGCGCAGACCCACGGTAAGACGGAGATTCCTGTAGCTTTTAAACGGCGAACAAATGAGCCGAGCAAGAAGAAAATGAAAACAAAAATACTTGAATGTGTTTCCAGGCACCAACGGCTGCGCAGTGGAAAATGGAGGGTGCAGCCATCTTTGTTTCTGGTGTCAGCAGGCGGTCCGCTGCGCCTGCCCCATGGGGCTGGAGATCCTCCCAGACCTCCGGACCTGTGTGGTGCCGGAGGCCTTCCTGCTTTTCACCAACAGGTACGCCTTCATGCTGAGCTGTTCTCATCTTCATCATCCCCCCTTCTTCCTTCGTCCCTCCCTTCCTTTTTTCCTTGGTCATGGGGGTCACCCATATCCAGCTATCACAGTGTGAGAGGTGGGACACCTGGACAGGTCTCCAGTCCATCACAGGGACACAAAGAGACAAACGAGACAAACAACCGTTCACTCTCTCACCTCGGGACAATTTAGAGTCACCAGTCAGTCTAACATGCATGTTTTTGTTCTGTGGGAGGAAACTGGAGTACCTGGAGAAAAATCATGACGCACAAAGAGAACATTCAAACTCCACCCAGAAAGGCCCCTGGACCAGGATTTGAACTGGGATAACCTGCTCACTGAGAGGCGGCAGTTCTCCCAACTGATCCACCGTGCCGCCAGCTTCTAGACGTCTTTAGTAAATCTTGGAGGAAACAATCATTGGATGCACAACTGATTAACTTTTGAAGTGAACCCAATTTAAGATGGCCACCACAGCCAAGTCACCTAGAAAAACTTAGCAGTGGTTCATTTGAGCCGGATCCTGCTGGAACAAGGTCCAGGAACTCTCATTTTGACCGCTCTGATCCGGCAACTCAAACCTCCGCCCCTAAAAGTCAAAAGTCATCGCACATTTTTATTTTGATTATTTATTAAAAATACAACGAGAGGAGACGTTGCCTAGTCTGTGGAGTGGATGTTCCGGCCGCACCACGCTCCTGCCAGCAGAGACGTGGACTGCCTGTCCCGTGGGGAGCGTCTTCATCCACCTTCAGCTGTGCGCCCTGCAGACTTTACGCATAGCGTCTCCAGACAGCTCTGCAGGACACGTGCACAACTGCTGTCAGAACTCCTGCATACATCACCGCGGTGCATAACATTTCAGATGTAATTAATAAACTTAGTTAAAAAAAATACGAGTGAAATGTTTGATGTGTATTAACATCACGTATCAAAAACAACGGCACTAATTTGTCAAAATAACAGCGATCAAAATGTGAAAAAGACAATTTATCTAAAATAAATGGATGGATTGTCCTTATCTGGACAACTGAGGATTCAAGCACTGAAAGGCAGTGGTGACTGAGACTGGAGCAGAACATCGCGCAGGACTGAATTCAGCTGAGTTCGGGTCGGACAGTGTGTGTGGGGGGGGGGGGTTAGGACGCTTGACAGAATCAGAGCTGCATTCATTTTAATTCAGTCTTTATTTATACAGGTTGTTGGTCTCATTGAGCCTCGTCATTTACAAGAGAGAGCTGTTTTTAATCAGTTTAATCAAATATTTACAGATGGTGAACAACCTGTTAAAATGCACCAAAATGCAGGAAATGGCATCTCTTAATACAAATTTTCTGGGGAGGACCCACGGTAACTGTAACGTGATTAGCTTTATGTTTGAACCTGGAAATTTATACAAAAATCAAACATTTCAAACAGTCGTGTTATGATCAGTTTATCTAGAAACTACGGTAACTCAACTGGGACAAACGGCTCCTTGGTCTGACTATCTTGAAGTGGCAGCACTAATTAAACTTAACAAAATCTATTTAGACCAGAGGTGTCAAACCCACTTACAAAAGGTCCAGAATTACAACCTTTTTCAAACTAAGGGCCAGTTTCAGAATCTACAGTAACTCAAGTCAGATCCCAACATCTTTCCTTGGTTGCAGGTTCCTCAACAAGAGTTTGATTGGTCTCATTTGATGTTGCATTTTTGACATAATCAAAGATTACTGAAAAAAAACCAAGTGATAAAAGTATTTTACATTTAAATAACATCTTGGGGGCCAGATAAGATGCTAAGGAGGGCCACATTTGGCCCCCCGAGCCTTGAGTTTGAACCATATGATATGCTGCAGGAGCTACACATTGCAGGTTTCTTTTGGTTAAAACTTTAGCTTTTACTGTTTATCTGTTAGCAAAATATCTCACAAACCACTCGATGGATTTTAATGAACCTCAGAACGTACCTGGTTAACTTTTGCAGTTAGTCCACTTCATATGGTCACATAACTAATTAAAATACTCCCCCAGTATTAGGTATAACTTAATTTTGTAGGAGATGAGTCATTAGTAGGGCTGGGCGATACGAACCAAAATTAATTTCTCAATATTTTAAGAAAAATGACAATATACGATATATATCTCAATATTTTTTCTTTCCATAAAGTAATAACAAAAATATATTTCTGAGTCAAAGCTTTGGCACATTTATTAACGGCTATAACTGTACAAAATATATGTCTAAAAAATAAACTGTTTACATATATTAAAGTTTTTTTTAACTTATATTTAATAGTAATCCTCCGCAGCTGCACCACCTTCACTATGTTAGTACGCGTGTGTGAACGGCAGCAGTGAGAGCGAGGGAGGAGGAGGAGGCTGCGTGAAGATGGCTGCGCAGACGGGCAGAAGAACAACTACCGTCCACAAACTTTCAAGCCTTCCAGTGAGAGGAGGGAGCGCCACATTAATAAAACAGCAGCTTATCATTAGGCCTGTCACGATAACAAATTTTGCTGGGCGATTCTTTGTATCAGAAATTATTGCGATAAACGATAATATTGTTTGAAATTTAACAATTGTCAAATTTTAGTAGAAATGTTGATTTGTTTGGAGTGTAGTACCTTTTCTGACCACCTGATGGCAGTATAAGACTGTTTGAACCAAAGGATGGATACTTGAGCAGCGTGTCTCTTTAATAAAAATGGGAGGGAGGCCCCTTGACGTGACATGGGCTGACATGGTGACTTTGAGCGCGTTTGGTGGTACATTTTTGTTGGGACTTATTTTCTTCATTTTTCTGTTGCACATCTGACAAATTAAATCTGAGCCATCTCCAAATGACAGCCATTTCTTTCCTGCTCACCAGTTCTGCGACTTGCTCTCTCTCCGTTCTGTGGCTGCTACGTGCCGCAGGCAGCCGCTCCACCTGGAGAGAAGCAGGAAGCAGGGGGAGGGGCTGAGTTTGCAGTGAGTGAGAGGAGGGGGGCCGTGTGGGAGAAGAACGAACAGCAGAGCCGGCAGACTTTCAAGTAGAACTATATCGTTTACATCGAAATAATGTCAATTTATATTGCAAATAAAATTATATCGATATGTAAAAAATATCAAGATATCGCCCAACCCTATGATTAGCAACTAATACTCTGCACTGGAACCTGACAGATATGGAAGTTTTGGTTATCACCAATACTGATATTGGGTGGGGAAGGTGAATGCAGATAAAAGATGTAATGGCTGAAAATTTGGGGGCTTTACACCCCCCCCCCCCAAAGAATCTAAAAAAACAGCGAGTGGAGTGGGGCTTGTTTGTTTAGCACAGCTGTTAGCAACCATGAAGCTAAGCTAATCAGATCCATGCTATACGTGGTCCCACAGCAGGTTTACAAGTGGAGCTCTGCTCATAGAAACAGTCTTCCTAACGTGCGCTCACATTTTCTATCCTCCACTGTTCACCATAAAGTGATAAAGTGTTACAAAAATATAATTTAAACAAAGAACCACCTTCCTGTTCATTGTTTAAACAGTCACGTCTGGTGAAGGGCTAATTAGCATTGATCGCAGCAGAGTTTATTTTTATTTGTAGAGAAGTAAAGATTTCAGACAAACAATTCATTTCACTGAGGACGACAAAGATAAAGTTACTAACTCGGATATATTTTACCTCCACGTTAGATTTATTGTTCTAGATAAAGTTTAACAAGACAATATCCTATGCTAAGTTATCTAAGCGTTAGCTTGCTAACTTGAGAGACACGTAGCTAAAGACAAGCGGGTTGGAGGATTGAAGAGAATTTATTATTTTGGATTTTTTTAACAGATCAGTTAAAATAAACTTACCATGTTCTGTTCAGCAACATACACTACAGTACTGCTCTCTGCTTCGGCTGTGCTGAAAGTGAAACTTAAGTGAACGACTATGACTTGAAAGTAGTCTTCATGCCCCCCCTGCTGGATACATTGTACAATTACAGCTGGTTCCAGCATTTTAGGGGTGAAAATTGTGTTTATATCGGCACATATTGGGACAGTTCTCACGATACAGATACGTCCTCAAATGTCTCTATCTGCCTAAAATATCGGCCCCACCAGTATATCGGTCGGGCTCTACTCTGCACTTCATATTGTTATTTTCAAGGTTTGATTTTACTCTAAAACTCTGGCATGAAAACCAGCAGTCATGGGAATTTCTTCAAGAAATGCTTGGCTTTTAGTTTTTTAAACACTCGTCGAAGACGGACGTATTGTGGTATCGTCTCTGAACGTCTGTAAACTTACTCTTGTACCGTAACCTCCTTGTATTATACCATTTCTTTCTTTATACTTTATATTTTGCTATTTTTGGGTCTAACTGGGACCCTGTGTACACGATGTCGTTCCACCTCATGTAAAGCGAATGACAACAAAGTCGCCCTGAATCTTGATCCGCTCAACATGTTTTAATGAAACTTCATACACATCTGCATCATCACTACATGGAGCGTGATGTTTTCCTTTTGAAGGTCATACAAGGTCTTTGCTTGTCTTGGCCGTTACTATAGAACACTGTTTCTGTAAAATAGGTGTCGACGGACGAATAATGTGCCGTATGTGACACGCTTGTTTATATTTAAAGTAATAATTACAACTGTCATTGATATTGTTGTTTCTAATGTTATTCTCCTGTAGTTGTACTTTTTGCCTAAAGATATTTGTCTTGACGTATCGAACCTTACAGTTTTATGTTTGATGAGCTCAGGATCACTTCTTGATTGTCTGTTTTGCCTTGTGATGAAAATCTGACCTTGCTATTTTAATTTCACGAGTCTTTCTTTAAATTTGCTCTTCAGGGACAGCATTCGCAGCATTTCGTTGGGTACAAACAGCAACGATGTGGCCATCCCCTTGACAGGCATCAAAGAGGCCTCGGCTCTTGGTTCCGATGTTTCTGAAAAGAGAATATATTGGACGGACATACAGGCGAAGGTAGGCTGAGCTCTGGAAAAGAACTGAGCTTTTATTTCTATTGAAAGAAAGATTTGTCTTGTTTAATCCCATTTCCTGTTTCCCTTCAGAAAATCAGCAGAGCGTATCTGAACGGCAGCTCTGTAGAACACGTCGTGGAGTTCGGGCTGGACTACCCAGAAGGCATGGCTGTCGACTGGATGGGTCGTAACATCTTTTGGACAGATACAGGAACGAACCGCATCAAGGTGGCCCGGTTGGATGGTCAGTACCAGCAGGTTCTTGTCAGTAAGGATCTTGACAACCCACGATCTCTGGCCCTGGACCCAGCTAACGGGTAGGACCCCATTACTCAAAAGTCATATTGGTTTAAATGCTTGACCGTGTTCACGGCAATATGGACGAACAAAGGTTGCAAGAAGTTGGACAACTGAAAATATTTCACGTGTTGAAATAAACTGAGACGCTGCAGGAATATCATCAACCTCTGACTTCAAGCAGATCCTCACAGCTTCCCTCCGTCTGTCCATCCGTGCATGTTGTGAGCATAACTTGAAAAATAAGTTGGGTACTGACTTCACTTTTGGTATGTGGCTACATCTAAGAGTAAGAACACTTCCTTCTGAAAATAGGGTTGCCAATGTCAAAATCCAAAATGTCTGCTGCCATATAGATACAGCGGTGCTTGAAAGTTTGTGAACCATGCTTTCTAGTTTTTATATTGCTTAAAAGTTTAGTTTCCTCAAATGACTGGGGTAACAGAAGATTAATGTGTGGTGGTTAAGGCCACCATCGGCCACCCCCTGGCTCCTCCATTGCATCTGGTGGATGATAAATTGCTCCCTCCACTCACTAGGATCCATCACTCTGCACCACCTTAGACTAGAAAAAATACGTTTTTCTCCACAGTGTAACTCCTGCCCGATTGAATGTCTTGCACCAAAAACATTGTTTACCTGCATGCCCATCTAGAGAAACACTCACCTGAAAACTACAAAAACCTTCACTCTTGAAACCCCTCAGAGACCAGGGACACGCTGCTCGTTCTTCTTGCTCTGAGCCTCCAGGTGTTTAACCTCCTCTCTGTACACAGGGTTTCTCGCTCCACTATGATGTCTTCTGCGAACTGGAGAATCTGATTCTTCTCGGATCTGACATCTCAATCGTGTGTTAGCAACATGACAAGCAGTCGGCTGAGGACCGAGCTCAACATTACAACTGAAGGCCAAATGAATGCCAAAAGCTGCAAAGTCTGTTTCTAAGATGCTCCGGTCCAAAAAACATAACTTAAGTCTGGTTTGAGTTTAAAAACAGAAAGTTGAGAGTCAACCAGAATGTAATGTCCCTGAGAGTAGGGTCTGCACGTTACTTCACTGCGTGGCCAGACTTTCTGTGCAGTTTAACCCAACATGAGCCTCTCGCCACCTTGGCTTACAGCTTGCTGACATAAAAAACAGACAACATGGATAGTTGGACTAGGTCTTGGTGAGCTCCTCCTCTACATGTTTCATGGTGCCTTCAAGACTCCCTTGTAAACACAGTTTTTCCACCAGCCAGGTGAGGATAGAGAGCAACAGTGTAAATTGTAATCCTTGTAACTTCGGCCTGCTAGGGGATTGATTATGTTAAAGTTGTTTATCAAAACAGATTTTACCGTCCTCTACCAAATCATCACTAAACATTAGTGCCTGTGTGTGATGGATGCGTGTGCCATCTTGTCACCGACGCCTCGGTGTTTTCAGGACGTGATTACTCAGGTCTTTCAACGTTCTGTCTGAAAACATCTGCTGTCAGGGTATCATTCTATAATCATGTTGGCAATAAGAGAAAAGTGTTTTTTTTCCACTTAGCTGGATGGAGACTGTCTCCCCGTCCAAAAGAGATGACTAAACAACATAAATATTAAGTTTAAATAAAAAACAAGCGGTACACCGACATCCCCCGTTGCTGAGGGATTTGAATTGTGGATGTTTGTACTTTTGGAGATGAGTGTTTTTCTGGACTGGAATTGAACAGGGATTGAAGTAAACCTTAAATGTTTTTACTGCAGGATATTTAAGTGAGAAGGCGTTGCACTGTCTAGAAGAACAGAAGTACGTTTTTTGTTTTTTATTCTTGCTTGCCCGAGGCAGCACAGTGTCGGACCCTGGTGAGTGGAGGGAGACATTTTCTCCACCACCAAGTGCAATGATGGAGCCAGGGGGTGACCAGTGGTGGCCTTGGCAATCTTAGGCCGTCCCAGTCAATAATGGCCTTGACAGGATGAGTGCTCCACCCTGTCAACAGAACCTAGCACCCCGCCTACTAAAATTGTCTTTCACCCGCAACCCCCCCAAACACCTGCCAGCATTAACGTAGCGCTAAGCTAGTAGCGCTAAGCTAGTAGCCCAGTCTTCAAACTGGACAATGTGTCAGCCTCACGGACAGAAACTGGAAGTTGGGTCCACAACAGAGGAGCCTGAGAACTGAAAGATCTTCCTCCCGTTCTTCTCCTGGAAACTCTAGGAACCACAAGTAAACCTGCAGTCTGAGAGTGAAGTGCTCTGTTAGGAAAATATGGAACAATAAGATCTGTAATATAAGATGGAGCTAGGTTGTTGAGGGCTTTGTAGGTTAGAAGTAAGATTTTGAATTCTATTCTGGATTTGACAGGGAGCCAATGGAGAGAAGCTAAAACTGGAGAGATATGATCTCTCCCAGTAACTCCAGTTAAGACTCTGGCAGCAGCATTTTGGATCAACTGAAGACGTTTTAAAGAAGTATTTGGACACCCAGATAATAAACCATTGCAATAGTCCAGTCTAGACGTGACAAATGCATGGACCAGTTTTTCTGCATCATCTTTAGATCAGATGTTTCTAATGTTAGTGATATTACGCAGGTGGAAGAAGGAGGTTCTAGTAACGTTTTTAATGTGGGGGATAAAAGACATGTCCTGATCAAAAATAACACCAAGATTTTTAACATTAGAGCTGGAGGACAGATTAATGCATCTAAGGAGGAGAAAGACTGAAACATTCATTCCTAAGGTGCTCAGGTCCAAAAACTAAAACCTCAGTCTTTGTTTTCAAAAGCAGAAAATTTAGGGTCATCCAGGTTTTTATGTCTTTAAGACATGCTTGTAGTCTAAGTAGCTGATTGGATTCATCGAGTTTCATGGACAAATATAATTGTGTGTCATCAGCATAACAATGAAAATTTATCCCATGTTGTTTAATAACTTTACCTAATGGAAGCATATATAAAGTAAAGAGTACTGGTCCAAGCACTGAGCCCTGAGGAACTCCATGACTAACTTTGGTGTATGATGGAGATTCATTATTTACATTAACAAATTGGAATCTATCAGATAAATATGATTTAAGATAATTTAGAGCCGTTCCTGTAATTCCAATATCATATTCAAGTCTGTAGTAAAATATTGTGATCAGCTGTATCAAATGCAGCACTGAGGTCTAACAGGACCAGTGGAGACACCTGTCCATTATATCATTAGTAACTTCCACCAGTGCAGATTCTGTGCTGTGGTGAGCTCTAAACCCTGACTGAAACTCTTCAAACAGATTATTTCTTTGCAGATGATCACGTAACTGACCTGCAACTATTTTCTCTAGAATTTTTTAGATGAACGTTACATTAGATATATGTCTATAATTGGCTAGGAGTCCTGAGTCCAGGTTATGTTTCTTAAGTAAAGGTTTAATTACAGAAATCTTAAAAGAAAAATAAGCTAGCATTGGTGGTTCTGCGCAGCCTGCGGGTGCCTGGCTAGTTGATGGCTTTTCAAAAGCACAGAGTTGAGCTTCCAGATTGGACAGCCTCTCCACCAGAACCAAAATAGCAGAACATTTGTTACATGTACCATTATCTTCAAACGAGGTAGTGTTATAGCCAAACATCTGGCACATGATGCAAGTGATGAAACCCGAAGCCATGTTAAGCTAAGGCTAGTAGGAACCAGCAGATTTCAATACACTGATAAAAACCAGAAGTCCTGAAAGATAAAGACCACAGTGAAATAAGTTTATCAAGTGAAGTGGATCCGATGCAGGCACTCTCTCAGTGATATGGTCTCAGCTTTTGGGCGCATTGAAATTTAGCAGCTCGCTAGCCCCAGCACGATGTAGCGCCACAAGACTAGCTCTGCATGAGACCGACTCGCTCCGCTGTCAAAACAAAGAGAATAATAATTGGTCCAAACAATTGACCTAGGAGAAACACTGTATACGGCAGTGGACATCTTGTATTTTGACTGCCAGCACAGTTTTCTTTGTTACACCTAGATGCAGCCATACACCAAAGTAGAAGTTGACAAATCATCTATTTTTCAAGGTATCCAGCTCAGAAGATGGACGGAGGGAGCCTACTTAATTTTTGAAAGGAACCTTTCAGTTTGGAAGGAATGGAGGGAGGGCATTTCCAATTCCCCCTCTTCATTTGCTAATATTGACACGTCCCATGTTTGAGCAGTGTTTTGTCTCTACAGCTACATGTACTGGACGGAATGGGGGGGTCGGCCACGTATAGCCAAAGCCTATATGGATGGTACCACCATTGTGACCCTGGTAGACAAAGTGGGGCGTGCCAATGGACTGACCATTGATTATGTGGACCATCGACTCTACTGGATTGATCTTGATACGTGTATGATTGAAAGCACCAACATGCAAGGTAGGCGTTCACAGTAACAACCAGTGATCATCTTCATATAGACTGACTCCAAAGGTTTATCAGTTGTTGATGCACATCAAGTCATTACTTTCTAAAAGTTTCATTAAAATTTGTCCAGTGATTGAATACTTGTGATCTCTCTTAACAGGCCTCCAAAGGGAGACCGTAGTGGACGACCTCCCTCACCCCTTTGGCCTGACCCAGTACAGGGATTTTATCTACTGGACCGATTTTAATCTGCGCAGTATAGAAAGGGCCAATAAACGCAATGGGCTCAACCGTACGGTGATACTTCAGGTATGAAACCACTTTCAGATAATTACATATGATTTCAATCGAGAATAAATGATTTCACTTTAAACTTACAGTCTGTGGTAAAAAGAAAGTTCACATTTTTTCAGTTCTTGGTTTTCTCACATGGTTGTGGAGGAATTTTGGCCCACTCCTTTCCAAGCAGCAAGGCTGGACGCACTTTTTACTCCTTATTTTATACATTTCAGCTTTGCTTTTTCAAATAAATAATGACCTGGTTGATCTGTTTTTCTTCACTGGAAGTCGAATTTAAATATTTTTAGAAGTTGACAAAGACGTCCATCTGTCCCTTCCTTTTTGACCCATGGGTCACTGGTTTCTATCTCCAGAATTCATTGTGTGAGAGGTGGGGTACAGCCTGGACATGTCTCCAGTCCACAGGGACACATGGAGACAAACAACCAGTCTCTCTCACCAATTTAGAGTTACCAGTCAGTCTAACATACATGTTTGGTCTGTGGGAGGAAACTGGCGTACCTGGAGAACTGGTGAAGACCTCATTACTTTTGTTATGTCCTGAACTGTAGAAGTGGTAAAAAGGGGGAAGTTTCTTTTCCCCATGAGCATAATGTAATAACTCTGGTATGTTTTTTCTTTAAAAACCTGAAAGTGATGCATTTTCTCCTCACGTCCGTTTCCTCAGGGTCAGCTGGAGTTGATGCTGGACATCCTGGTGTTCCACTCCTCTCGTCAGGATGGCACCAACGAATGCTCACAGAATAACGGCAACTGTGCCCATCTCTGCCTGGCCACTCCTGCTGGTGCCCGATGCCGCTGCGCCTCACACTACAGCCTGAGCCCCGATGGAAGAAACTGTAGCTGTGAGTAACCATTGTGGGGGGGGGGGGGGGAGGAGGATGCACGACGGAAGCGGAGCGCTGTGTCAATAGCTGTTTAGCTTGTGTGTCTGTATTGTGTGCAGCTAGCTTAGCAGTTGTCGATGTGGGGTGGAGAGGGACATTTCAGTGCGCTCGGTTCTGCTGACCGGGCGGGGCACCCTCCTTGTATAACGGTGGGGGAAACACGGAGTTATCACTGGCAGGGTTTTTACAACTGGACATTTGAGCTTAAACCTCGGACGCTTTCTGTCGTAAGGAGAGCAGTGCGTCCCTTCTCAATATCCAAGGAGGGCACCTCGCCCTGTTGCCAGAACAAAGACAACACCCCCCCCCACCCAGCTCGAGACGAGCTCCCTCCCAAGGCAAGTAACCTAGGGGAAACACTGGAGCGCTTCATGCAAAATACAGCTCTACTGCTCTAGTATTACAACAACAAACTAATCACTGTAATGCCACTTTGATTGATATGTGCTGCTGATCTCTTGCTGCTGATCATTTCATACTGCTGTATTCATTCGTACTCATCTGCTCACACAGACTCATTCGTGTTGCTGTTGTTCGACGTATTGTTTCTTTTTATTGTATTCTTACTTTAGCGTATTTCTTAGTTTACGTCTTAGATCCTTAGAACTTTCTTTTACAGTTTATATTCTTCCTGTTGTTGGATGGAACTGGGACCCTGAGTACACAATTTAGTTCCACCTCATGTACCACGTCACCACTTGTCTTACCACCTCGCTCTCCCCAACTCTTCTTTTTAGCTCCTTTGAGCTTCCTGCTCTTCAGTCAGAAGGCCAGCATCAGCAGGATTGTGGTAGGAGAACAAAGCTCAGACATCATCCTGCCAATTTACATCACAAGGAATGCCCGAGCTGTGACCTATGACCCCCTGGACCATCTCATCTACTGGTTGGATGGACGACAGAACATCCGAAGAGCAAGAGATGATGGAACCATGGTGAGTCTCACATTGATACAATAGTTCTTCCATGCAAAGACTAGTACAGCCCCATGCAGAACGCTGAAGTCAAAAATACTGAACTAAAGAATGCTTATCATTCACTAAAGTTTCAAACTAAGATCATGTTGGAATTAAAAAAGGATGAAGTTGAAGTTGTTTTGGTCATACCTTGAAAATATGCACAGTTTCAAGTCCCTCCCCCGTGTAAACTAGTGGATGTTTTTGTTGGTTGCTGCTATAAGAAAAGTGACTCAAATAACTGGAACTAAGTTTTTTTTTTTTTGGTTAAAGTTGTATTTTCATTAGATAGATTTTACATGATATAATCACATCAAGTGAACAATTCTATTGGCCAACCGTCCCTCAACAAACATTTACTGTACCAGTATATCCCTCAAAAACTTGATTACTCCGCCTCCATCCATCCATTTTCTTTAGCCACTTTTCTATTCGTGGTGGCAGGAAGCTGGCGCCCATCTCCAGTGGCCATAGGGCGAGGGGCGGAGTACACCTTGAGCAGATTGCTAGTCCATCCCCAAAGTACACATAATTTAAAAAAAATAGATAAATTGAAGTAGGAAAGATCTCAAATGTCATTACAGAGATATAATAAATGTTTTAAAAGGCACATTTTGAAAACGGTTCTTGCACCATCGGTTAGTGCACAGAGTTTAAGTTTGGCCTCGGTGTCGGACTCTACCACACCAAATTTTAGATCAGCATTTGTAAAATGGGCCGAGTTACAGCCACAGACTATAGAAGACTATATCAGAGGTCTACCAGGTAGACCTAGACAAAACCAGTCGTCGCTGTTGGCTGGTCCCAGTACAAGTTTAAAGTCCTCTCCCTCCGCCACAGAAGTCCTCTATGTTGAATGATTAGTGAAAAGTAAAAAGGCAATAAAAGCTATTGAGCTTAAACGTATTTAAAACTAATAATTTCTGCTGGTATGAAGGACTTTTCTATATAATGACTGGGCATAACTCCTACTTGGGGACAACAACGAGGACGACGAGGACGTGTATTTAACCCATCCACCCCAGGTGGTGCAGTGGGCATCTATTGGGGGTGCCTGAGCAGTTGGGGATAGGGTGTCCTGCTCAGAGACACCATGAGATGTGCGATAACTGGGGATCAAACCTGGGACTTTCGGGCCCCGAGTCGGCTGCCCTGCCTCTACACCATCTCGGCCCCCATAAGAGACGGACAGAAGTAAAACGTGGATGTTTCAAATCAGCTAGAATCTCTTCTGCTTTGAGGGATCTCAGTCTGTAGATGTGATTTAAATTACTCAATGATACCTACGGATTTATGGCAGCTTCCTTAAAACTCGGTCTTGTGACTTCAATTCCCAAGAATAAGAAATACAGGGACGCGCAGTTTGTCACAATACATGTCTAAGGTTAAAGAGTTACAGTGAGCAATGCTCCTTTAAATAATGCTTTAATTAAAACCATCAGAAAACTGTCATAAAGTAATGAAATGAACAGATTAAACCATTAGCACCATCTTGAAAACAAGAATCGTTAGGAACACTGTTTGTGATTGAAACAAACATGAAAACAAGTCAAATGTTTTGTGGATGTCTCCAGGCCTCAACAGTCGTAAGCAGCACCGCTCAACAAGTGGACAACCAGATCCACGACCTTAGCCTGGACCCCTACAGTCGCCACATTTACTGGACCTGCGAGACAACAAACACCATTAATGTCCAGAGGATGGACGGCCACATTGTAGGAGTGGTTGTCAAAGATGACACAGACAAGCCGAGGGCCATCGTGATCAATGCTGAGAAAGGGTGAACATGTTTTTATGTTCTTACATGTAGACCAATAAGTTCAAGGTTCTTTATCACATACACAGAAGTTAGTATTCCGTCATAAGATAGATTCACAAATAATCGAAATAGTGTACAAGTTAGTGCCAACAATTGTATTGTGATAGAAGCTCTGCTAACCCTGAGGGTCTTAAAGACCCTTCTCTTGTTGCACTTGGTGTCGGAAGGCGGGATGTCCCCGCTGACTACAGCACTAGTGGCAGCTCTTGTAACTTGAGGACCGGGGTTAATGTGGCTAGTGTTAGTGATTAGAAGTGTACAACTGTGTGTATAATATTGTGACAATGTGTGCAGACGTGATTGACAGATCGGGCCGTGCCCCTGTTTGTAGGTACATGTATTTCACCACAGTACAGGAGCGCTCCGCTAAGATTGAAAGGTCCAGTCTGGACGGAACTGAGAGGGAGTCTCTGTTCACCACCGGCTTGATCAGGCCGGTTGCTCTGGCTTTGGACAACAAATTAGGAAAACTGTTCTGGGTTGATGCCGACCTCAAACGCATCGAGAGCAGTGACCTGACAGGTGAGTTATCAGAAACATCAACATCTTTTAGAACAACAAATTATTCATGTTCCGATTAAAAAGAATAACGGTGAATTTAAAGGACCATGTGGTAAATAATTGATCAGTAGTTCTGATATAAATTCTGAATTGTCTGCTGAGACCTTTTCTCTATGCACTCCTGTTGGGAGCTATTGAGCAGCTGTCAAACTAGCGCTCAAGAATCCAGACAATAAATTCAGCTTGATTTGAGACAACTGCAAGTTTTTGAGAGAAAATTTGTAGCTTAAGTATTTTGAATGTATTTGAAGTTCTGTGAGCCTCTGGGACTCGCATGAGGAAACTGAGAAGACTTGCACGCGTTTTGTGACATTTAGGAGAATCCTTACAGCCCGATCGATATGGAAATTTAGGCTATCATCAATACTGATAGTGGGGGTGGGCACCGATAACCGATATGAAGGCTGAAACTTGTTAAGCTTTGTCCAACTCCAAGACTCTTAAGTAAACAGCAAGTGGAGCGGGGCTTGTTTATTTAGCGCACCTGTTAGCAGTCATGAAGCTAAGCTAATCAGATCCATGCTAAACCAAGTCCCACAGTCGGTTTACAATCGGTGCACTGGTCATAGAAACAGTCTTCCTGACATGTGTTCATATGTTCTATCCTCTATTCACCATAAAGTTAGTGTTTTACAAAAATATAAATTAAACTGTTACTAACTCTGATATATTTTACCTGTACATTAGATTTATTGTTCTGGATAAAGTTTTACAAGGCAGTAGCCTATGTTAGGTTATCTAGATGTTAGCTTGCTAACTTGAGAGGCACGTAGCTAAAGACAAGAAAGTTTGAGGATTGAAGAGAGTTTATTATTGTTGTTTTATTTTACAGATCAGTTAAAATAAACGTACCATGCTCTGTTCAGTAAAATACGCTGCACGGTATTGCTCCCTGCTTCGTCCGTGCTGAAAGTGAAACTTAAAGTGAACAGTCATGATTTGGAAGTAGTCTTCCTCTGCTGGATACATTGTACAATTACAGCTGGTTTCAGCATTTTAGTGGTAAAAGAATTGTTTATATCGGCGCATAATGGGACAGTTATCACAGATAAGTCTTGAAATGTTTATATTGGCCTAAAGTATCGACCATACCGATATATCGGTCGGGCTCTAATCCTGAGTAAATGCTAGTTTCCCAACAGTCGCAGCTTCGTGAGATGCTGGTTTGACTTCCTTCAATCATGAGCTTTTATCCAAAACGGTGAAAGCATCCTTCTTTTCCTTCCAGGGGCCAATCGCATCGTTTTACAGGATTCCAACATCCTTCAGCCAATAGGATTGACGGTCCTTGGGGATCATCTGTACTGGATTGACCGCCAGCAGCAGATGATTGAAAGGGTGGACAAAGTGAGCGGAGATGGACGTACACGCATTCAGGGACGAATATTGTACCTGACGTCCATCCACGCTGTGGAAGAGATGGACCCGCAGGAGTTTGGTACAGACCTTTGCTCAAAAACAAACGCATGAGGCCGAGTTTGTGTATGATGGCGTGGGTTATTAGGACTGTTTCTTCTCTCGCCAGTGTCCCATCCTTGTTCCCGGGACAACGGGGGCTGTTCTCACATTTGCATTGCAAAGGGTGATGGAACCCCTTCCTGTTCTTGTCCCACGCATCTGGTGTTGCTGCAAAACCTGCTGCACTGTGGAGGTGAGCAGCACTGTTAAAGGGCATTCTGGACAAATACAGATTGGTTTGTGTTTGAAGAACAACTTTTTATTATATACCGGTAGTATTGTCTCCGTCGTAAACTTTATCTTGTTTTGTCCATCACTTCTGATCCACCCAAGATAATTTAACAAAACTTTATACACGTGCATCATCTCTAGACTGAGTTTTGCGTACACTGTTCATCAGTCAGAGGTTGTTCCCATTATGTGTAAGAGGGAAAGCACTTCCTGTTGGGGGCAAAGGTGTGTACCAGTAATAAAGGGTGACGTCACACGAGAGGGACTCTGTTGTGATTTTACCACTAGCACCGTTAACTTGCTACAGTATCCATGTAAGCATGTGGGTTTTATGTCTCAGCTGTTGTAATAATAAATGGGTTTAGTGAAAGTCATTTTTCTGTATTTGTAGGGGGTGGGAAGGGGGGTGGTCTCCAAAAACTGTTAATTTTGGACGCTTGCCACCCCTTAACAAAACTTGATACACAAGCCAAAACAGTCCGCGCTCAATAATCCAGGTATACAATCCAACAATTTTCAGTCAGGTCATCTGGACTTGATACACATGCACCATCACTTGACCGCTTGTCGCGTAATCTTTTCAGCACACCCTAAATTCAAGGTCACGAATCAAGGTCAAATATTTAAAAGGCTTCTGCTTGTGTGGGCCGTTGCTTTAGATAGAGCCACCGTGCCATAATTATTGGATGTACATCTACAAGTTCTTAACTTTTGGAGCCAACCCAATTCAAGATGAACGGCACCACCAGCTGTTCCTCGTCTCATAAATGACTACAGCTTTGTCAGATTTACAGATGTTCAATAAATGTTTAGGGTGGTAGTAGCTGAGGCTCACTGAGTGCTTGCTGATCACAGGACACGAGGTTGTGTGTCACTCCTACATTCAGTGAACTCGATCTCAAACTGGCATGAAAGGCCGAAGGCAAAACGTATTCTTTCAAAAAATGTTGCACCTTTATTCTGAAAACTGTATTTGCTTCTCACCGTTTTGTATCTCTTACCCTAAAGTGTGGCGTTCAGTCGTTTAGCGTTTATTTAACAAGCTTGTTCATTTCGTCTCTTTTTGTCCTGCGTGTCTCTCAGAGCCTCCGACGTGCTCCACGGAGCAGTTCACCTGCTCGACGGGAGAAATCGACTGCATCCCCATGGCGTGGCACTGCGACGGCTACGCTGAATGTGAAGACAAGAGCGACGAAGAAAACTGCCCCGTCTGCTCCGCCTTCCAGTTCCAGTGCGATGGAGGAAGCTGCATTGATGCTCAGAGACGCTGCGACGGTGAACCCAACTGTGCTGACAAGTCCGATGAGCAGGACTGTGAAAGTACGTTGACCAGCTCTTGGCGTGAAATGGTTCAGATAACTCCTCGCACAATCAGATCAGCTGACGTATAGAACGGAGTCTCATCTGCGTTGTTGAGAGTTTGAGAGACATTTGCAGCTAATAAATACTCCCCAGAGTCTGAACATGTGTTTTCTGACTGACCTTTCCCAAATTAAAAACAAAAACGAGAGAATATTGTCTTAGCATAGTTTTAAATATAAAAAGCTCAAACATTCAAGGAACACTTTTTAATCAGAGTGTAACATCAAGGCAGTTAAACTTCTGGGACGGCTCCAAAAACAAGAATGGTTTTGCACATGGGAGGCCACAAACATTTTTTCCTCCATCTTTTTTTGACTTCTTTTCAGTAGTTTTGCTTTTTTTTAATTCAACCTTTGTTTATACGGGCTGGTCTCATTGAGCCACGAGGACTCGATTACAAGCGGGACCTGTTCCAGACAGAACATTTGACTAGGGTTAGTGTCCCTGCTGCTAATATCTGGACCCTGCAGGGGCTGCACAGGCAGAGCAACTCCACATCAATATGTGCCGTTGCCAGAAGGTTTGCCGTGTCTCCCAGCACCGTCTTGAGCAAGGAGGAGATCCCAGGAAACAGGCGGTTACTCTAATGCCCCTTCTCCACGGACGTGGCTTTACTCAGTTTGCATCGACTCGGCATCGCCCAACTGTGTCTCCGTTACCTGTCCCTGCTTGGGTTTTTGGAACCGCCTCAGCCATGGTTCCAAGAGAGCCGAGCTGAGCAAGCGAACCGCAGCCGTTGATTGGATTGGCGTCACTGGAGGAGTCAAGGCGGCACTTGCAAACTCTTCCTGAAGCACCATTTTCAGTCCGATTGCTGAAAGTACGTGCACGTTGCTGAGATGACGAGCTGCAGATCACAGTTTGTTCCGTGCTCAAATGATGAGGTGCAAACCTTTTTATCAATTTTGTCAGTCAAGCACATACAGCGTGAGCTCGACGGAGCAACGGGGAATGGGCAAGTTTACCTGGATGTGTCAGAGATACTGGCTGCCCGCGGCTACACTTGAACGTATAAACCGCTCCAGGACAAATAAAAGAGAATTATTATGACCTGAGGGCTCTACGTCCTCTAGAGGGCTCTGTGCTCACTGCCCGGCACCGTGAGCTCGACTGGCATTTTCCAGAGAGCACCAGAATTGGCAGGTCCGTCACTTGCGCCCTGTTCTGTTCACAGAGAAGAGTAGGTTCACTCTGAGCTCGTGTGACAGACGTGTTGGTGTCTGGAGAAGCCGCGGTGCACGTTAAGCTGCCTGCAACATGGTTCAGCATGATCGAGTCGGTGGTGGGTCATTGTTGTTCTGGACAGGCATCTCCATGTAGGAATGCACAGACCTCTACAGGATAAATGACTGACTGCCGTTATTGGGATGAAAATCTTAGACCCATTGTTAGGTCCTTCACTGGTGCACTGGTCCTGGGTTCCTCCTGGTATACGATGATGCCCAGCCTAATGTGACAAGAGTATGTAGGAAGTTCCTGGAGAATGAGAGACTTGATACCACGGACTGACCTTCACGCTCACCTGACCTAAATCCAATGAGCATGTCTGAGACATCATGTTCAGCTGCCAGGTTGCACCTCAGACTGTCCAGAAGCTCAGTGACGCCCTGGTCAGGGCACCATCCATCATCTCAGTTGGCCCCGACGTTGTCAGGCCTGCAGACAAGCAACGTGGGGCCATGCAAACTACCGAGTACCATTTTGAGGTGCACCAATGGGATTTCAACAAATTGGACTACCGGTAGGCTGCTGCATCAGTTTTTCAGTTTAGATTCCTTGGTGCCTTTGAATTAAGCCCTCTGTAGGTTGATAACTTTCATCTTCTTCAAATCACCATTTTGCTCCTAACGCATTACCAGTTCCAAATCAGCATGGATATCCAGCCCGTTTTCTTCCACTTGAGACGTGTTTTCAACGTGTTCCTTTAATTTATTTTCAGCAGCGTAATATGAATCCTTGCAGTTTTTTATTCCTGCAACAAAAAGTAAAACTCTTAAATGTTTCTTCAGATTTTTAAACTATAAAACTTTCTGCTGGTTCTTGATCATAGTGTGGATGTGTCCACTATTGGGCACCTCCACCTGCCTGTTGACACGGGAGTGTAGTTTAAGAAGATCACACACATAAACATCTGATGAACATGGAGTCTGCCTCTCTGTTCCAGCCATCTGCGCCCCCACCCAGTTTCGTTGTGGGGACAACCAGTGCATCATGAAGAAACAGCAGTGTGACAATTTCTCCGACTGTCTCGACGGATCAGACGAGCTCGCTTGTGGTAACGTCAATGAAAAGTGTTTTCTTTTTCTTTTTTTTTTATTCATTTAAAATTTTTTAATGATTTTCCATTTATGAACAAACAACGAAGCACAAAGAGAAAAAAACATAAAACAGCTAAAGCCTGTCTAAATGGTACCAGGGTTACTGACGTTGAAATCAGTTTAGAATGTAGTAAGGGAGCAGTACTCCAATACACTTATACAGTTTTGGTGTCTAATGGTACGTCCCCTTTAAGGCATATCATCCCCTGATGGTCCAGATCGTATCCCATAGGGTTTCTTTTTCCTGTTCTTCTTGCCCACTCTCTTTCAGTCTATGTAGCATGGATTTGTATGATGATATCTCCACCATGGCACCTGTCCATTCTCTCAACTTTGGGGGTAGGGTCGATTTCCATTGTTTCAAAATCATCCTTGAAGCTGTAATCAGTCCGGTTATAATTACAGAAAGCATTCTTTTAGGTACATTTATTTATTTACACCTAATAAATCTAACCATAATTACAGAAAGCATTCTTTTAGGTACATT